CCCCCCCCCGGCAGCGGCGCGGGGCTCCCCCCACCTCTCTGCAGGGCAGCAGCGGGTTCACCGCGCCATTGCCTGGTGACCCCCCTTGCCGGACGCAGTGCAGGTCCCTGCAGACCCATCACAGGGGCATACTCCCAACCCAATCTCCCTCCCCTTCCCTTCCCCAGAGCCAAACACCTCCCCTCCCTGCTGTAACCCAGTCCCCTTTCTCCCCCAATCTTATGTCCTGGTCCCAACAGACATCACTGCTTGAAATGCAACCCCCACCTTTTCCATTATTTTCAATGGGAAAATTGACCCCGCATAACACATTTTCACTTAACACGATCATTTTCTGAAACATATCTATAGTATTAAATGAGGAATTACTGTACTTAAAAAAAAAAACCCAACCCCAAACACAAACTCTGGGAGTGGACAAGTTTTTAACATGCTGAGAAGTAACAGTAAGCAGATACACAGATCATACCTCAAGCAAATTTAAAGGAGACAAACCTGCCCTCCTCTACCCTAGAATGACATGCGTAGAGCCTTGTAAATCCACAGGGTATCTGCATCTATAGATGTGGATGCAGATACAAATTCTGTATCTAGAACCCTGCAAATCTGCAGATATTTTATATCCATGATTATCCGCATCTGCAGATGTCAATATGGATATCTGCCACTCGTTTTTGCAGATGCAGCCCAAGGCTGTAGACATGTGCACACATCCATAAAATGAAGGCGCCTTGAAAAAAAATTTAATGGATGGCATTCTGAATTTCACTGCCATGATACAATCAAAACAACTTCAGTAGAGAGGCCAGACTCTCTCTTACCACTTTTCTTTCCATGAAGAGCAATGATCAAAAAGCCAAAGGTGAATCACTCTGAAAAGATAAAGCCAGACTCTCCCCCAGAACAAGACGTTTATTAACAAAGGGCTCATTTCAGGAACCTATAAGAATGGATAAGTTCCACTAAGTGGCATGAATAAGAAAATTGATAAAAGTTTGGAGTGCTGGGCTGGCACAACAAAGATCATACAGCGTAAAACAGTAAGGTTGCTTTGAACACAGTCTTTCACTGCATGACTCGTAAGAATATGAGCAAAAAAGAAAAAAGTTACACCACACCCTCATTTGCAGGCCTTTAGTTTTAACGGAAATAAAGTGACTTAATCAGACTAGCCACCACGATTACAATATAGACCATTAAAGGATACTAATAAAAAGAACTAAATCAGTACAAAAATAGACACAAAAATATACTGAAGTACGGCTGACAAGATGTTCTGTTTCTGTACTCCCACCAATACAGGAAAAGATTCAACTGGAATTTATATTTAATTCCCATTAGGCTAACAAACTTTGGGAGGATGATGCAGAGCTTGTACCACGATGTTGTCACCTCTGTGAGCAGCTTACAGTATATTAAAGGAGCACCATAAATGTAAAACAAAAAAAATGGGAGCACTTTGAAGGTCCCCTTCTCATCTTACATAACCAAGATGAAATTAAAGCATAATTTCTCTATTTGTTTGTATACTCTGCCTGTTTGACAGCAACGTCTATCTAGCCAGTTTCTCTGTGTAGTCAGCATCCCCTACTCAGTGTGTTGGTTCTTTCACATCGCAATAAAGGAAAGAAAACACATTAATGGAGCAGT